GAGTGTCAACGATAAGTCGCGTTAAAAAGGAGTACTCATCCAGCGGAGGGAGTATCTCAACCGATTCAATACCACCGAGAAACGTGGCCGCAAATTTTTGCCAGTCGATGTTTTTCGTTAGGTCGTACGCGATGTCAACCGAGTGAGCGGAAGATGAACCATTGATAATAGAAATTTTGATTGGCAAGTGGTCACTACCGTAGGGATCTTGAATTACTTTCCACGAGCAATCCAACGATAGTGAACTCGAACTGAGGGAGAGGTCTAATCTGATTTCTCTTGCTGGAGGTTTGGCCACTCGTGTTTTTTTTTGTCACTCGTGTTACTTCCCTAGTGTTTAGAACTGTCATATTGAAGTTATCGCAAAGGTCGTTTGTGAGCGGTTGTCATCGTACAGTTCCCCCCAGCCTGTACCGTGGGAGTTAAAATCTCCTAAGATCAACCGAGGCTCAGATAAAGCTGAGCAGATATCAGAGAAACCTTGGCGAGAAATCGCAGTTCTTGGAGGAAGATATACTGAGGTTTTTACCTCGAATATTTACCTGACATGCGACAACTTCAATGCCTGTCACGGAAGGCAGATAGATTCTATGAAAGGAATGGAGCTTATTAATCCCGAGAAGCACCCCTCCATACGAATCTGCTCGATCAAGGCGAATAATGTTAAAATCGTGGAAAGGGAGATCGGTGTCTGAAGAAAGCCATGTTTCACAAAGAGCAAATGCATCACAAAGTGAGTTGTGAAGTAAAAATTTGAATGTGTCAAGTTTCAGTATAAGACTTCTACTGTTCCACTGAAGAACAGAGATCATATCCTCGACCTCATTCGAAAAATTATCCATCAAAGGATATGATCGACGCAAGGAAGGACCACCTTGAAGCTAGTTGCTTCAAAAGAGTTTTCACAAATGGAAGCACTAAATTAATAATGTTCCTATTTAGTTGAGTCAGAGACGTTGAATATATTGAAGATGCTCCCCACAATTCCAGAAAACGTGAACATGCCATCATGTTCTTGATGGTTATTCAACTGTTTTTCTGACTGAAAAACTGGAATATCTGGGCTTTTAATGATCCCAGAAGTGGCGGAAATTCTTTGTTAAAATTACAAACTTTAAACTTTTGCTACATTTCCGCTACCTCTTAAATTTGTCGAGGTAGGTTGAGAGTCCGTACGAGAGGCCTTACGAGGTTTTTGGGTGACGTTTGTTTTGGACCGCTTCCTCGTGTTGCCGTTAAAGACAAAAGGAATACTCTCACCAACCTCTGAGTCAGAGCCCTGATCATCATCTGGCAGGAGGTGGAATGTGTTGTTGCTTTTTGGGGTGCTTTGGGAAGACGAAGCGGTCGTTTTCAAAATTTCTGCTAACGAACGCTTAGAGCGAGCTTGCAAAGACCGCTTTAGTTTTTCTCCCTGCTGTTTGTACTTCGGGCAATCACTCAGAGCATGCGGAGCATCCTTACAATAAACGCATTTTGGGGTAGCATGACAAGGACCCTCCGTATGCTCCTCCCCACATTGATCGCACCGCGGTTTGTTGGAACAAAAGTCCGCGGTGTGACCTAGTTGTTTGCATTTCAAGCAATTCATTACCCTCGGTACAAACAAGCGTACAGGTAGTCGAACCTTCGCAATTGTGACGTAGTCAGGTAATGCCGATCCTGAAAAGGTCACACGAAACGAATCTGAGAGGGTATAATTTTTGTTTGTGCCTATGAGCGACACTGACTGCAGTTGAATGCAGTCCAGTATCTTGACTTTGGGGAGGGCACGGTTTTTGAAAATGCCGAAAGATTCGACTTGTAGGAAATCCTCACAAGTCAGACTCGATTCGGTGACCACTCCTTCAATTTCTACGTCACAACTGGGGGTGGTGGGGAAGGGGGGGGCAGGGGGTGAAGGAGGCTGTTGTTTAGACATCACCTTTGGGTAAGCTCCAATGTTCGTTTTGGGGTCAGAAGTAGAATCCCCTGAGGTATCCATTTTCTCTTCAGTGAGAAGCAGATTTTCGAATGATGGAGAGTTAACAGACCCATCATCAGAGATATCTGCTAACGAAATACCCCCCCAAATACATATTTTCAGGGTAGATAGGGCTCCTTAAGTTATGAAAAATCCCCATGAAACATAGTGTCGGAAATGACTGCTAAGTGAGTTATTCAACATTTTATGTTTTTTTTATTGCCAACTTTGGTTAGCTATATTTTTTTAATCTTAATGTGGACTTCTGATTTCAACATACCAAATGAAAGATTTAAGTCGTACCTATCAATGTTCTTATACTCGATTAAAGTTAATTATCATACATTAAAATTGAAAAGTATGTTGAAAGTACCAAAAAACTGGTGAAATTTCATACATTTTAGTGTTTTTAAGTTGAAAATTTTCATTACTGTTAATTTAGTTGTTCTACAAAACATTCTCCATGCAGTTCCCTACATTTGTGCCTTTGGTAGTAACCTTGTAGGCTTTATGGTTTCTTCGTAATTATAGATTTAAAACAGCCATAAAAACCCCAAGTAACAATTTCCAGTTGAAGATAACTACGATAACTTTTATAGCACCTTAGTTAAACTGATTGACAAGAGCTATATAGAACGTGAAATAAACGCATCAAAACAAACCATTGGGAGCTCTTATACAACACCTGAGTTGATCAAACGTTGAATAATAGCTTCCAGAGTTGTACAAGAATGTAGTTGTATTGCCTTTTTGGTTAAACGCTTCAAAAGCTGCTTGGAGCACTCTTAAATAATTGTTTACGTTCGGTTAAACTGTTTGACAGGAGCCATATAGGATGTGGAATAAACGCATCAAAACAAACCATTGGGAGCTCTTATAAAACACCTGAATAAGAGCACCAAATGGTTTATTTTGATGCGTTTATTCCTTAGCACCTTAGTTAAACTGATTGACAAGAGCTATATAGAACGTGAAATAAACGCATCAAAACAAACCATTGGAAGCTCTTATAAAACACCTGAGTTGATCAAACATTGAATAATAGCTTCCAGAGTTGTACAAGAATGTAGTTGTATTGCCATTTGGTTAAACGCTTCAAAAGCTGCTTGGAGCACTCTTAAATGATTGTTTACGTTCGGTTTACCTACATGCTTTATAAGACCTACGATAACTTTTATAGCACCTTAGTTAAACCGATTGACAAGAGCTATATAGAACGTGAAATAAACGCATCAAAACAAACCATTGGAAGCTCTTATAAAACACCTGAGTTGATCAAACATTGAATAATAGCTTCCAGAGTTGTACAAAAATGTAGTTGTATTGCCATTTGGTTAAAAGCTTCAAAAGCTGCTTGGAGCACTCTTAAATGATTGTTTACGTCGACCAACCACCAACCACAATTTTGTTGCTAAAAATAGCACAAGTGATAGGCACGTTTATATGACCATAAGGCAATGATTATTCGACTGCAAGAGAAGTCACTCAAGATGAGCTTCATATACTTCTCTCATATGATCAAAATATGTATTCAAGAATAGAGCAGATGGAAACAGAAGCGGCTGGCAATCCGGGATCATGAGTTCGAATCTTACTTCGAGAAACCCTCGGTGGAGTAGAGGTAAATTATATATAGGTGTTATTAATAAATGCAAACATTAATTTAAGACATATAACATATAATCAACGATAACATTTCTAGATAAATTCTCTCAATTAATGATTAGAGAGAATAATTGAAAGAATATCAATCAAAGATTAAACAGATGCTTGTTACTACTTCCTCCATGATCACAGAATGTGAATTATGGCATAATTACACATTTTTTCAATGTGCACAAATAAATTAAATTAATAAAAACTGTACAAGCAATTATTTTGGCGTACCACGACAATTGTTAAACTAATTTAAATCTGTGAATATTGTGCGTACTTACACAACGGTTATTAAGGAGTCATTAAAAAGTGCTATAAACGCTTTCCACCGCTTGCTGTATAGTGATTATTTAGGAGTCATAAAAGAGTGTAACAAACGCCTCTCAGGTTCAATCTCTAATACATTTCGAAACAACTGTTAGGAGGTGTCTACAAACGTTACGTTGTAGCTTTCACTAAAACAATAAAGCTTGAGTTTTAATATGTATCTATAAACGTTGCATAAAAGTTGCTTCTATCCGGGTATTAAGGAGTCATTGAAAAGTGTTATAAACGCTTTTCACCGCTTGCTGTTCAATTAATATTTAGGAGTCATAAAAGAGTGTAACAAACGCCTCTCAGGTTTCCTCTCTACTAAATTTCAAAGCAGCTGTCAGGAAGTGTCTACAAACGTTGTATAAGAGCTTTCACCAAAACAATAAAGCTTGACTTTAAATATGTATCTATAAACGTTGTATAAAAGTTGTTTCTATCCGGTTGTTTAGGAGTCATTGAAAAGTGCTATAAACGCTTTTCACCGCTTGCTGTACAATGATTATTTAGGAGTCATAAAAGAGTGCAACAAACGCCTCTCAGGTTTACTCTCTACTAAATTTCAAAGCAGCTGTCAAGAAGTGTCTACAAACGTTGTATAAGAGCTTTCACCAAAATAATAAAGCTTTAGTTTAAATATGTATCTATAAACGTTGTATAAAAGTTGCTTCTACTCCTATACTCGTATACATATAATGCTGTAGTTGAACAGGTTCTCCAAACCAGTGTAAACAAGAGTTTTACAGAAGTTGTAATAAACAAATTGTACAGTTATTATTCAGCATGCAGTTCACTGCGCAAAGTTGAGAATTTTAAGTGCTAACCCTAATAAAAATAATCATAAAAGAGAGCTTAACGACGTATTCGGGGTATCATCCAAACCATTTGTGGGATAGTTTACCCATCCGGGATGCAGTTCGTTTATGGTATTTGTTTATTAGGGAAGTACAAGCAAATTAAAAACATTGGAGACGTGTAATTGTTTTCTTTAAACTTGAATTCAAATATAACATCACACAAATGCATGGAATAAATCGCCGCAAAACTTCATACAAAAGCTGTAACTTACGCATTGTTGAATTGATCCTTCAACGGTGATCCTTGCTGAACAGCAATGGCATATGGTTTCCGTGAAAATTCTTCTCCAACCATTTGCAGGTCACAGTTAGTGAGTACTTTATACCTTATATCAGTAGCATCGCCGAGAAAAGCAAATCCTGATGCTGAAGTTGAGTTTCGTATACGTTCGACTGCTTCATCCAGAGTATTTGGTAGACCCGCCTCCTGCATTGCTTGCCACATTTTTGTGTATTTGTCGCTGACTGGATAATCCCAAACTGCCAATTTTGAGCGTTCAACAGGGGTCAACGAATCGTTAAGAGACATCTCTTTCCAAATTCTGTGAATAAAAATAAAAATTGAATTACACGGACAGAAAATTGTTTGCATTGAACCAATAAAAAAAATTTAATTGTATTTAAACAAACAATTCCGGTGGAAATTATATTGCATTTTGTTGTTTCAATAATATTTATTCATATAAATTCAAAATAGGTTTTTTTTTTGCTTAATAAGCCAATTTTCAACTGCAACTATTGTAAAATTAACAATATTCTATTATTAATCCAACAATAGTTAATTTTAATTTAGCATTTATATGCTGTGTCTATTCCCCGGGTCACAAATGCAAAAATAACTACCAACCATTCCCTCGTTTACACCCGGACAAAAATGTAAACAATAACAAAACTTTTCTCGTTTGATTCAGCTCTTTTCCGCGTTCCACGTAAGTATTGTTTTTAATTGTGAATTTCGGGAAATAAGTGCAAGATTTCCGAAAATCTTGAGACTTGAGGTAAGTAAATATGCTGCAATTCGAGCTGCAGTTGATAAATATAATCAATGTTTCTGTTTTTATTTCCTTGATTTTTTTCCGTCGATCATATTTTCCGTACTGACGAGTACCAATGCTCCCGACGCCAGGAAGGCAGCTCCCACACCTGGACCCTACATATCGACCCATCAACTCATGAACTGGGGACCAACGGCTTTACTTCCCTTCCCTTCAATTACAATTCTTTTTGTTGCAAAAAGAAAACAAAACAAAAAAAAATCGACATTATGCTTTAATCAATAAACATATTTTTATTTCTCCTACGTGAATTGTCAGACTTCATAAAATAAATTTGATTGAATTACCAAGAAATCTCTTTTAAAATTAAACATATTTTTGTTGTTGACCCAGCTGCCAAATTTGACAGCTTACGTCAAAACCATGACAGCTCTTGTAAATTCGAAAAGATTTTTTTTTGATTTAACAATCCATGCACACTTAATCCAACCGGTGAACACTCGTGTTTATTTCAGTTACCGTGTGGACGTAATTTGTGATGAGCCCCGGTCCCTTTCAAATTGTATCATTATTTATGTACGGTCCATATATTTGAAATGACGTTTCACATTCATCTAGTGATGGCCGATATTCATTCGAATTATCGATTAATCGATTAACGAACCGAAAAGTAAAATATTTGCAATCGGTTATATCATGCCGATATAAGCATTAACTTCTCCAGAGGATCATCACCGATCATTTCAAACATGTGCTGCACTCTCATTGGTGGAAAAATGGCAGCACAGCGAACAAAAAAAAATCGATTAGTTGTTAATCGAGTAATTAAAAAATGGGACACCTCTGATTTTGGTGTGTTTGTTTTGATAAAAATGAACGCAAAATTTCATCTCTACCGAGGGGGCAGCAAAACCACAAAATTACCTTGAATACGAGGGGTATTCAATGGATGAAAGGGACCGTGAAAGAGGACACTAAAATAGAACGTTTTTCCTCCGACAGTTTCATCTTAGTGTTCATCTTTGCTTAATCTAGCTCGGTAAAATCTCCAACAGCAGATTAACTCGGCATTTACTTTTGCTGATATCTCTGCAAAATACCTGTTTGCCAGCTGATATCTCAGCAAAATATTATTTGTTAGCTGAGTCTCGGCAATTGTTTTACTGAATCTCAGCAAAATAAATTGCAGAATTACTCGGCTGTTGAAATCTCGGCGAAAAATTTTAAGTGTGTGGGTTTTAAGGAACAACAATTGTTGAGGAATTTGGACGATAGGCCCTTTTGATCGCTTCAGCATCGACTCAGCTCGGACGAATGTCGACTCGCAACGTCGAATATTTTTCGATAGCGAACCGATGTAAACAGAATAACGCGTGCAATTACAGATAAAGTATTTCTATAGAAGCACCAATAGAATTAGTTTATACTTAGTGAATCGTACGCGAACGTGAGTACTTAACTTGAACTATTAAAATGCTTGATAAATAATTTGACCCATATCATCATTAGATAACCTAACCTCAAAACTAAATAATTGGCTTGGAATTCTCACGAACCGAATTGTTACTGTTAGAAAACTAATTTGTTAGTCTAATAATTGTTATGCCAGAATGTAAAACTAAAGCTAAATATAATTACAGTCGAGTTGCGGAAAACCGAACTACGGAAAAGTTTTGTAACAAGCTCGAAAATTACGATATTCGAAGAGGATTCCGAAAATGAGCAATACATCTTTCGATTTTCACTGCAAGGCTTGCAATCGGCAGGATGACGCAGACGATATGGTGGCATGCGACATATGCGGAACCTGGTTCCACTTTTCGTGTGTGGGAGTACAAGCCTTGTGGTTACTGCCTCAGCGATAGATCTAGTTTCCATGGTTCCGAGAGTTCTGTGCAAACCAGTAGCACTAATGTTCGCTTGCGCCTAAAGCATTTGGAGGAATCTAAAGCACTGGAAGATCGGCTCCAACTGCAGCAAACGGAACGGGAACGTGTGTATTTAGCACAAAAACATCAGCTGGAACTAGAATGCTCGTCGGGTGAAGGAAGCTACCAAAGCGTTCGCAGCCGACAAAGCTGCTCGAATAGTCGCAGTGAAGTTCAAACCTGGATAAATCAGACGAGAAACCAGACAACGGGTATCGTGCAGCAAAGCGATGGTCAACAACCTGGTGCTTCACCTTTAAATCAACAAATGGTAGTGCTGGAAAATGTCGTTCCATTTCCACTCGTACCACCAATCGCTACTCATGCACTGACAGTTCCATCCGCAAACATAAACATACAAAATATTGTACCGCCCGGCGTGTTGGTAAACAACAAAAACCAACTAGTTCAGAAGCAGTTCGGAAGAAATCCGCTTTCGCCGAATGCGAATCAGCAAATACCAGTTGCTGCTAGTCAGTTAGAGGAAACACCTCTACAGTCATCGCAACTGTTGGCTACCGTTATCCGAGATCAATGGGAACAACATCCACCGTTTCCGTACAAACAAACTCTCCCACGGACAAATTTACCAGGCCCGAAGGAGTTGTCATCGAACGTGCCAATTGTGGAAAGTTATGTTCCCATGCAACCAAGTAATGAAGGTCGAATTGAAATGGAAGCCATAGAGATTCAACGTACGTGGAGACGACCAAACCAGTCTCAGCAGCAGCAGAATACGTACGATCATCACACAGCCCAGCCGACAGCGGATTCCATTCAAAATATTCCGTCACAACCAAGATCACAGCCAATTCCACAAATGTTCCACACACAGTGGTCTCAGCAAGGTAAAGGAAGATTTGTCGGTGATCAGCAGCAGATGACAGCCGGGAATTATGTACCGATCTCTTCGACCATGAACGTTCCACCTCTCATGAGCTTTCCTCAGCCATTTCCTTACGCCGAGTGGCCTGCAAGTGGAAGCGCTGCTGTTCTGCAGGGTACAGTTAATCAGCAATCAAATACGTATCCATCGAGAGGATCAGCACCCGGGGGATTGCCATACGTGCATACACCGCCAGCATATATGGAATTTGGTTGGAACCCTCGACAAACAGTTCCGCTGGCAGCTTCTTATCAGCAGTGGCCCGTATCTAACACGGATGGCATAGTTTTAAGTGCACAGCAACTTGCAGCTCGACAAGTCGTGTCCCGTGAACTACCGAAATTCTCGGGTGATCCCCTTGAGTGGCCAATATTCATCAACGCATTCGACTCAACAACATCTATGTGCGGAATTCAACCGGATGAGAACTTGGCTAGGCTTCAAAGAAGTTTGATAGGAAGTGCCAGAGAGAAAGTGCAGAGCATTCTTACATTACCAGCAGCGATTCCCGAAATCATCGAGACCCTGAGAGACGAATGCGGACGGCCAGAACAGCTAGTTTATTGCTTGCTAAGTAAAATTCGAAACGCTGCTGCACCGAATGTCAACCAACTGCACACTCTGATAACATTTGGTCGGGAAGTCAGAAATCTGGTAACGTACATTGAAGGTGCACAGCTGCAGGATCATTTGTCTAATCCGATGATGTTATCGGAGTTGGTTGGAAAGCTACCACCAAATCTTCGATTGGATTGGGGTCTTCATACGCAGCGAATTCCACAAGTTTCGCTGAAAGCGTTCAGCGAGTACGTCTCCTACATAAAGACCGCTGCTTGTCATGTATCGTTGCCAGCAGAATGGAGTCGCTCGGACGACAGCTACCGCAAGGGTAAGAAGAAGGAATTTCTGAACGGCCATACCGTGGAAGAAGAGCAGCATCACGATACGGATGGGAAGACGGATTACAAGTCCAAACAGGAAACGAAAAGTGACCCCAAGCCATGTCACGCGTGCAGCAAGATTGACCACAGGCTTCGAAACTGTCATACGTTTACTGGTTTCAACGTGGATCAAAGGAAGCGTTTGGTAGAGCAGCTTAAGTTGTGTCAACGTTGCCTTGGAAGCCACGGAAAATGGCCGTGCAGGGTAAAACAATTCTGTGGAGTCGATGGATGTGAGGAGTCACACCACAGGCTGTTGCATTCCGTCAATCCTCAGACATCGAATGCCACTGAAGGTGTGAGCTCGTCAGGTTTGATTTCTGCCCACTGTAATCACCATGCCAGTACGTTATTCAAAGTAATTCCCATCGTCCTCTCCAACAATGGGAAAACCGTCACAACTTTTACTTTTCTGGATGATGGGTTTAGCCTCACGTTGCTGGAACAGGATATCGCAGACGAACTTGAATTGGCAGGAGAAGCAAGTTCGCTATGCTTACAGTGGACTGCAAGTGTAACAAGAAGGGAACCGGCATCGCAACGGGTGCGATTGAGCATCAGAAATGTGAACGGTGGCCCAAAGCACACAATCTCGGACATCCGAACAGTATCAAGTCTGGATTTACCACAGCAAACTCTTGATTACGATGAATTATCCGAACAGTACCCGCATTTGCAAGGAATTCCTGTGCAGAGTTTCACCGGTGCAGTGCCTCGTATATTAATTGGATTGGATAATGCCAAGCTGAACATGACGTTGGACAAACGGGAACGACGCAGTGGAGAACCAGT